GAATGGGGGTAATTAGGTTCAGTCTGAGGAAGAAGACCGACAGGGCTAATTCCTCAGACCAAGAGCCTCTTCACCACGCCAAGGAGCCCCCCTTGAAGAGGTTGCCACTGCAACTAACTACAATTCATTCCCAAAGGAATCAAAGTCTAGTCTATGTTCGGCCTAATGTCAAATGATAAAAATTTCTTGAGCAACTGCAAACCCAATGGAACAGTGAGCAGGCTTCCACTAGGAGTATTATACCAGGAAAAAAAAAAAACTTAGTTTTTCATTTCCAGTGTGGATGACAGTGGCTCAGACTAGAGGGTGATCTAGCAAATATGGCCAAAGAATGCAGCAGCAAATGCTGTAATAATTACTGGTCAGAATAAGAACATGAGTAACTAGATACAAAACACATTTCATCAATATGCAGTACTTATTATCATGTACAGTATTTCTATATACATGTACTTAGTTTATGCTATGTACATTAAACCTCTTAAATACCCAAAATTTACATATTCAAATGTAAAAGTTTACTAATTAGTCTTATTCCTAGATTAAGTGTCCAAAATGCTGTGTACACTTACAAGCATTCAATGTAGGAAACAAACTAAGTTAACCCATTCTTTTAACACTTGTGCACCTTCACAGAAAATAAAATTCATACATTTAACTAATTTACCTCCTCTTCGTATTCCACAAATTCTTCGTTCAACATTACCTTACCATAATAGTGGAGACTATTCATTTTTATGTCGAGTTATGCTAAATTATGCTATCATTCATCCACATGCACACAAACCATCAAACAAAAAACTCTCACCTGAAGATACTAAAGTGGAAAGAACTCTAGGTTTCAAATGGACCTCCTCCTTAATTCCCACTGGGTATCTGAAAGGCTTTAATCCAGCACTGGTTTTTGATATTACATTCCGAGGACTCTTACACTTGCTAGATACTACAGTCAACTTCCTAGGAGTTGATCGCTTCTCTTTCGAAAGCTTGAGAGATTGCAAATTTACCGACAATGCAGGAACTGGATTTACTTTACTACGTTTGGACCATGATTCCTTTGAACGGTCTTCTGGAAGCCTCTTTGAACAAGGAGATATCTTGATAAACATAAGCCCAGTTCCATTTTCTGTCTCATCAGTTTTCTTAGATGTGCTTTGATCTTTGGATGGGTGTAATAAGAGTCTTCTGCCACTAGCTGGTACTGAAGAACTCTCTTCATTAATTAAAGGATACTTATTTTCAGTACCTTCAGAAAAATTACTAGCTGTATCACTATTTTTTTCCTTATTATCTTTATCACAATTTTCCATTTTAATTAGATGAAGATTCATGTCCTGAGAATTCTTTTTAGTTGTACCAGGGAGAAAACTTTCAGCACTATTCACAGGTAGGTTCTCAGTTTCATTCAGGAAAAAATGCTCATTTGTGTTAGTGGATAAGCCTTTTATTTCATGCAAGGATGCTTCTCTAGTGTCTTGTAAACATAAATCTTTAGTTTTGAGCTTTGATATTTCTAGAGTTTTACTCGACTGTAAATTCTGAACTTCGTTTTCGGAGGCAGTCACGTTCAGCATTAAGCCATCACTGCTACTGGATGGCATATTCTGATACATGAACAAGGGAGCTTCCTGATGGGATTGACAATGAGTCTTATTCAAAGGTACTACTTGGGTCTTTTCCAAGGGTATTTCTTTGGTCTTGTTCAAAGGCAACTCCTGGGTCCTGTTCAGGGGCAGTTCCTGGGTCCTGTTCAGGGGCAGTTCCTGGGTCCTGTTCAGGGGCAGTTCCTGGGTCCTGTTTCAGGGCAGTTCTGCCTGTCGGGCAGTTCCTGGGTCTGTTCAGGGGCAGTTCCTGGGTCCTGTTCAGGGGCAGTTCCTGGGTCCTGTTCAGGGGCAGTTCCTGGGTCCTGTTCAGGGGCAGTTCCTGGGTCCTGTTCAGGGGCAGTTCCTGGTCTGTTCAGGGCAGTTCCTGGGTCCTGTCAGGGGCAGTTCCTGGGTCCTGTTCAGGGGCAGTTCCTGGGTCCTGTTCAGGGGCAGTTCCTGGGTCCTGTTCAGGGGCAGTTCCTGGGTCCTGTTCAGGGGCAGTTCCTGGGTCCTGTTCAGGGGCAGTTCCTGGGTCCTGTTCAGGGCAGTTCCTGGGTCCTGTTCAGGGGCAGTTCCTGGGTCCTGTTCAGGGGCAATTCCTGGGTCCTGTTCAGGGGCAGTTCCTGGGTCCTGCTCAGAATCCTGTCCATGGGTAACTCTTGCATATTTTTCAAATGCAGATCTTTTGGTTTATTTCCGATCACCACCCGATTTGATTTTACAGGCGAACCACGAGTATTATTTATGCATAAGTCTTGCTTTTTGTTTAAATGCAAAATATGAGTTACATTCATTGGTAAGCTGCTCTTTGATAAATCTCGAGTCTTATTCAAAAGTACATCCTGCGTTTTATTAAAGTCGTTTGTTTTGTTAAGGTAAAATGTGCCTTCCTCAACTTCCATAATTGTACTCAGACACTGAGCTAAACAAACATCAGATACATCAGAGTTAAGACAAGCTGGTTTGCTGGGTTCTTCCTCTTCACAATCAGACTCGACAAAAAGCTGTCGACCCTTATCAGAATGACTGCGCTGATCTAAAAGCTCTTCTGGGGGAAGGGATTTAATACTTGTAGAACATCTACGGGGATCATCGCCAGGAGAAAAGCTAAAGTCTGCCAGAGATGCCACAACAAAATTTTCATCACTCAAGAGATCTCTCTCATCTTGCATGTACTCACGTTCTTTTTTATTGGCTCCTTTGAATAAGAGAAGTTCATTCAAAGCCTCACTCTGATAAGGCTGAGGAAGGAGACTGAGTGGCTCACTTCTACGGCGGTGATTAGAATGTTTTGGGATAGCTAAACCTTCCGCTACTCCAATGGCGCTCATTCTCCTAGGACGATGTGTATCAGTTACCTGGGGTAAGGATGAAGGGGAAAAAGTTGGCACATCTTTTACGATAGTTTCACAGCTATTATGGTGATCATCCAAAACAAGATCCTCTGGGTGTAATATTGATGCTTCTTTAATAACTGTTTCAGAACTCAATCTGCGTTGCAAGGAAGACCCCTGACAATTAAAATCATCTTCCTTTGTAACTGTCACCATTATGTCAGAATGCTTAACAGGAATAGTGTGTGTATCAGTCTCTGAACTCTGCTTCTTACAAACGGTTGGAATTAGTTCCTCTAATGGATCATTCATTTCTTCTTTATCATTGAATGTTTTTTCAAGACTATCTGGACTCATACTATTCTCCAAAACCTTCTTCCTTTGGCTAGCAAGTTCCTGCTCTAAAATCTGAGAAACATCTGTCAGATTAACATTCTTCACCCGTGGTACATGGTCACCTATTTTTGGGGTTGGAAATTCCAAGGAAACATTAAAATCTTCCATGATTAAAGCTGGTTCAGAGGGCGTGCTGGGAGCCGTTTCATATTCAGAAGATGGAGATTCAGGCGCTGTACACATTCCTATATGGGAAGCATCAAGTGTATCTTCCCCTTTCCTATAAGATTCTCTCTTTAACATATTCACATTTAAATTCGGAGTTTCTGGAAAATTCTCAGGAGCCTTAAGTTTTTCTAGAAGATTCATACATGAAGCCTTTATGGATGCAAAATTATTAGAACCCACTTGTGGCCCAGGTGTGATGGGAGTCATTTGAAACACGTCTAATGAAGCTGATCTCAGAGGTGTTATTCCAACAGTTGGCGTGGAGGTATTGGACGAACATGAATTTTCTTTCCACTTGCTATTAATACAGGAATGTTCATCATCACATTCTTCAGGCTGCTGTCCAGCTTTTGGGAACAGGCTGAGGCGTCTTATTTCTGCCTGATCTTTAACAAATGTCTGTCTCCTCAAAGGAGAATCCAGAATATTACAGACAGGAAGCTGGCCAGCATATGCAGAACTGAAAGTTTCAACACTTGATGTAATGAAAGTTTGTCGCCTTAGTGGTGTGTTCATTTCATTGCAATTAGGCAAATTATCCCCTTTAACTGCACTGAAATCTTCCTTCTTTGAAGCAATAAATGTTTCCCGTCTCAATGGAGAAACTGTCACATGTGGTAAATGTTCCCCAATTACCTGCGTGAATGTTTCCTTATCAGATAGTGAGCCACACTTTTCAGCATCAAGCAAAACATCACCTTCATTTAGGTCCTCTTGTAAACTGGACAGGCCTCTATGTGCAAATGTTAACTTCCGATGAGATGATGGGTGTTCCAAGGTGGCTGGTAATATATTACTCTCTCTCTGTACCTCCTCAGAATGAGTGGAACTGGTTTCTCTTATTTCTTGGGTTGATACAAGAGTTTTAGTTTGTTGAACAGGTTCAGACGAAACTTCATTTTTCTCACTTTGTTCCATCTTCCGTGTGACATCGTAGATTATGTCAAATCTTTCCTGTTGTAAAACACTAATTTCAGTTACCTCATCAATCACTTCTCTTACTTCTACAACTACATCATCACCAGGTAAGCAATATGTCATTCGCCTTGTATGCAAATTCTTTTCATCATCTGATATGTCTTTCCACATAACACTGTTCACTTTCTTATGGTGTTGCATAGTTTCAACCTGAATCTTCCTCAAACTTGATGGACATTCTGAGTCAATTGCCGAGACAGAAAGATTTGAAGGCCCACAAGGTGTGCACTCGACCAGGGCATCAGAATTCTCAGTGGAGTTCAACACTGGCAATATGTCAATACTCTCTTGACTTGACGTCGATAATACAACTCTCCTTAAAGATTTTGAGTCAACCTGTGAAAACGTTAATAGAACTGATTAATTTTAATAGCTTTTTACCAAGCCTCTTAAAATGTACAGAAAATTTCAAATGAATAAGCACCATTAAAATTTTGAATGTCATGATAATTATATAATATATCTGAGCTCCTTGCAATAAAATTAATTTATACTAAGATATATATGGTAGGGTTATTATTGAAAGAATTAAAGGTAAGAGAGAGCAAGACTGCAGGTGAACAAGGCTTTAGAAAGGGTAGGGGATATGTAGATCGTGTTTACATTGAAGCATATAATGGAACAATATTTAGATAAAGGGAGGGAACTTTTCATTGCATTTATGGATGTAGAAAAGGCTTAAGATAGGGTAGATAGGGGAGCAATGTGGCAGATGCTGCAAGTGTATGACATGGGTAGAAAGTTACTAAATGTTGTAAAGTTTTTATGAGGATAGTGAGGTTCAGGTTAGGGTGCATAGGAGTGAGATTACTTTCCAGTAACAGTAGACCTTAGACAGGGATGTCTAATGTCACCATGGTTGTTTAATATATTTATAGACAGGGTTGTAAAAGTAAATGCTAGAGTATAGGGGAGAGGTGGGATTAAATTATAGGGAATCAAATACAATATGGGAGTTGACACAGTTAGTTTTTGCTGATGATACTGTGCTTTTGGGAGATTCTAAAAAGAAGTTGCAAAGTTTAGTGGATGAGTTTGGGAGGGTGTGTGAAGAAGAAAAAGTGAACATAGATAAGAGTAAGGTGATGAGGGTATCAAACAAGTTAAAGAAAAATTGGATATCACATTGGGAGAGAATGTGTTCAGACATTTAGGAGCATATTTGTCAGCAGAAGAGTTTATGAAGGACGAGATTAGTCATAAAATTGATGAAGGAGAAAAGGCGAGTGGTACATCGAGGTATCTGGGGAGACGGAAAAAAAAAAAAAAAGTTATCCATGGAGGCAAAGAAGGGAATATATGAGAGTATAGTGGTACCAACACTCTTATATGGGTGTGAAGCATGGGTTGTGAATGCTGAAGTGAGAGGCTGAAAGTAGTAGAGATAGTCTCTATGGAGGTGTGGAGTTAATAAAAGGTTTATTCCGAGGGCTGAAGAGGGGTTATTGAGATGGTTTGGTCATTCAGAGGGTGGAGCAAAGTAGGTTGACTTGGAAGGTGTACAAGTCTGTAGTGGAAGGGAGGATGGGTATGGGTCGTCCTAGGAAAGGATGGAGAGGGGGTTTGTGTGTGCAAGGGGCCTGGACATGCAGCAGGCATGTGTGTGCATGTTAAATAGGAGTAAATGGAGACTAATGGCTTTTGGGACCTGATGAGCTGTTGGAGTGTGAGCAGGGTAATATTTTGTGAAGGGATTCAGGGAAACCAGTCAGCCAGGCTTGAGTCCAGAAGTGGTAAGTACAATGCCTGCACTTCAAAGGTGTTAGGGATACTGGCTGTTTGGAGTGACATCTAAACTGTTGTATCTGGGCATCTCTGCAAAGACTGATTTTGTCTGAATGATGGTGAAAGCGTTTCTTTTTTGAGTCACCCTGCCTCAGTGGGAGACAGTCAGCATGTTAAAAAATTTGCACTTGAAGTTAGTTTAACACTTGCCTCTCTTTTACTGGCACTCTTCTTTGGGCAAGTAACCTGGTCTTTTTTAAAGACAGAACCTTGACGTGTAGTCGATTTGCACTTAGGTCTGACAGGAGGCTTGTTTTCAACATCAACTTTCTCTCTGGCAGTTCTGCGTAGGCCTTGATCAGTTCTGGAAGCCTTGCATGGAAGGAGTCGTTTTGAAGTCGAGTAAACTGGAGCAACATTTTGTGGTTTAAGTGGCGCTCTGCTTCTGACTTTTCCTTTCTGATAAAAAGTAATTTAGTGTTATTCATTGTACAATTTACTGAAACAACTTGTTTATGTGCAAGATCTTAACCCTTTCAGGGTCTAGATCCCTGATCTGAAAATTTCTCTCAAGGTCCATTTTCTCATACCTAGGCCCAAATTTATCATTCACAGCTTCTGAGTGAGCTGAGCTCACCACGTAGTACTATGGCATGGACCTCGAAAGGGTTAAGAGCAGCAGTATCGTTAATGAGTAATCACAATTTGAGGACAATTTGTTTTCAAGTACAATATTTTCAAACAAAACACAGTGAAAAGCAATTAAATAGTGATGGGATAAATTTTTTCCCTATACTGATACAGATATTCAATTTTAGACCAACACCAATATCATCAAAATTAGCCAATACTTACCAATACTAAAAATTAATTTTAGACCATTACCATAAAAATTAGCCAATACCCACACCTTGGATCACTCTTAACTAAAAACTTTGAATATTGAACATAAACCTCTGGAAGAAGGGTGGAGACTAGCTGAACATATCTAGAAAATTTAACCAGATGATTTCTTAAACTCATCTCAAATTGAGCACATTACTAACTTCCTAAACATGGGGGAAGTTTTTATTTTATTAACATATCGGCCATCTCCCACTAAGGCAAGGTGGCCTGAAAAAGAAAAACTTTCATCATTCACTCCATCACTGTCTTGCTAGAGGTGCACTTACACTAGTTATAAAACTGCAACATTAACACCCCTCCTTCAGAGTGCAGACACTGTACTTCCCATCTCCAGGACTCTAGTCAGGCCTGCAAGTTTCCCTGAATCCCTTCATAAATGTTACCTTGCTCACACTCCAACAGCACGTCAAGTCCTAACAACCATCTGTCTCCATTCGCTCATATCTAGCATGCTCACACATGCTTGCTGGAAGTCCAAGCCCCTCGCACACAAAACCTCCTTTACACCCTCCTTCCAACCTTTCCTAGGCTGACCCCTATCCCACCTTCCCTCCACTCCAAATTTATACACTCTTAAAGTCATTCTACTTTGTTCCATCCTCTCTACATGTCCAAATGACTTTAACAACCCCTCCTAATTTCCAAACTACAAATTCTCTGCATTATATTGGCACCACACACTGCCCTCAGACATGACATCTCCACTGCCTCCAGCCTTCTTGTTGCATCATTCACCACAGATGTTTCACACCCATATAAGAGCACTTGTATAACTATACTCTCATACATTCCCCTCTTTGCTTCAATGGACAAAGTTCTTTGTCTCCACAGACTCCTAAGTGCACCACTCATCTTTTTCCCCTCATCAATTCTATTATTCACCTCATCCTTCATAGACCCATCTGCTGACATGTCCACTTGTAAATATCTGAATACATTCACCTCCTCCATACTCTCCCTCCAATCTGATACCTAGTCTTTCATCCCCCATTTTTTTACCATTGCCTTATTCCTATATTCACTTTTAATTTTCTTCTTTTACATACCCTACCAAACTCTGCAACTTCTCTTCAGAATCTCCCAAAATCAGTGTCATCAACAAAGAGCAACTGTGACAATTCCCACTTTGTGTTAGATTCTCTATCTTTTAACCCCACACCTCTTGCCAACACCCAAGAATTCACTTCTCTTACAACCCCATCTATAAATATATTGAACAACCATGGTGATATGACATCCTTGTCTAAGGCCTGCTTGTACTGGGAAATAATCTCCCTCTCGCCTACATACTCTAACCTGAGCCTCACTATCCTCGTAAAAACTCTTCACTGCTTTCAGTGACCTACCTCCTATTCCATACATTTGTAACATCTGCCACAATGCCCCCTATCCACCCTGTTATTCACGTTTTCCAAATCCATAAATGCCACAAAAACCTCTTTACCCTTATCCAAATACTGTTCACCTATGTTTCACTGTAAACACTTGGTCTACACACCCCCTACCTTTCCTAAAGCCTCCTTGTTCATCTGCTATCCTGCTCTCTGTCTTACCCTTAATTCTTTCCATAATAACTACCATACACTGTACCAGGTATACTCAACAGGCTTATTTCCCTATAATTCTTGCACTCTTTTGTCCCCTTTACCTTTATACAAAGGCACTATGCATGCTCTGCCAATCCCTAGGTACCTTACCCTCTTCCATACATTTATTAACCCTTAAACTGTCCAAACGTAGATTTACGTTGACGTGCATAGTGCTCTGAACGTAGATCTACCTCCGATTTTATGTGCTTTCAAATGGAGAAAATGAAGGTTGGAGCGCTACGCACGTTAACGTAGATCTACTTTTGGACAGTTTAAGGGTTAAATAAAAGCACCAACCACTCGAAAATTACATCCCCACCTGCTTTTAACATTTCTATCTTTATCCCATCAATCCTAGCTGCCTTACCCTTACATTCTACCCACTGCCTCACAAATTCCCCTCCCCCCTCACAACTGGCTCTTCCTCACTCCTACAAGATGTTACTCCTCCTTGCCCTATACACAAAATCACAGCTTCCTCATCTTCATCAACATTTAACAATTCCTCAAAATATTCCCTCCATCTTCCCAATACCCCTAACTCTACATTTAACCCTTTGACTGTCGAAAGGCCCAATCCTGAAGTGTCTCCTGGTGTCGCAAAATATTTGGAAAAAAAAAAAAAAAATTCTTATGAATATGTTAAGATTATTTTTCTGATTGTTTTAGTCAAAAAAAAAAAAATTCCCATCAGTACTTACCGAGATATAGAGGTGTGAAGTTTGCTGAAAATGATCTGTGAACGGCAACAGCGGCAACTGCCGCTCACCCGGTAAACTTTGATTTACTTGTATTTGATGGTTTCTTGTTTTTTCACTATTTTATTTTTTCACATAACTTTTGTGGCCTGTGAGACCAAATTATTGTGCAATGTTCAAATATACACTCGTTGAATGTAACACAATTATAGCAAAAACACTCGTATCATTATAATGTTAAAACTTGTTTACACAAACAAACAATATAAAAAAAATATTACGATTGTTCTATAATATATATACATATGTACAATCACTGGACACTTTTCTAGAACTGCTGCAACTTGTGGAATTCTTTGAAACATGGGTATAAGCACAATGGTGTTTTACACTCCTCACACATAAAACGAGTGTCTCTGCGTTTTTGTGGGCGTTTTGTGGTATGTCCACAGACAAAACACCTCTTCTGAGCATTTTTCTTGAGAGCAGTAGCAGGCAGTGGTATGGGGTAGTGATCACCAGGCCTCAGACGAGAGGACATGTGTTGATAATTTCGTGGGCGCTTGTCTATTGCAGGTGTTGTTCCTTGGTACTTGAATATTATTTGTCTGATGACTGAAACAAAATTCACCATATTTGGGTTTGTTCTTGGTCTTCAACTTATACATATTATAAGCATTCAGCATGGAAATGTCAAGAAGATGGAAAAACAGTTTTATGTACCACTTATAACTCTTGCGAACACAGTCAGCAAACCCAATCTGCATGTCACATTTGTCCACTAAGCGCATATTGAGGTTGTAATCCATCACAGCTGCAGGTTTTACACTGGGTTCATTGGTCTCTATTCTGCTTGCCAGTGTCTACCATTTCGTGTCGGTGAACTGATGTCAGCAGTGTGACATCACGTTTGTCATGCCACCGAAATGCCATGATGTCATTGGCAGCAAACACCTGCACTTCACCTCTACAACTGCCAGCATCGAACCTAGGCATATGTTTACGATTTCCACGCACTGTGCCACACACATCTGTCATGTTCACTCGCAAGAAATCACCGAGTATAGGGCTTGTGTACCAGTTGTCAGTATATAAAATATGCCCCTTACCAAGATATGGCTCCATCATTGTTCTAACCACATCCCCAGAGATATCCAGTAACTTTCTGGTATCTTCCAATGTTTTACCGCCAGTGTACACAATTATATCCAAAACCAGACCAGTTTTGCAATCACACAGAACAAATAACTTTGTACCAAAGCATTTCCTCTTGCTTGGTATATACTGTTTGAATGAGAGTCTTCCTTTGAACAAAATCAAAGACTCGTCAATAACAAGCTTCCTGAAGGGATAAAAATACATACAGTACTTTTGTTTCAGGTACATAAACACACGTCTGATCTTATATAACCTGTCGCTTCTGTCAGGCCTTGTTTTGTCTGAAAAGTGTAACATACGTAACAGTAACACAAATCTATTCACTGGTATAATGTCTCTGAAAGCAGGGGTTGAAATCAGGTGGTCTGTCACCCAGTATGTGTTGACACTGTGCTTATACACATGTGGCATAAGCATTATTGTGGCAAAGAACAGATTCATCTCTGCCACAGTTGTGTCCTTCCACTGGTGTAGGCGTGATCTTGGTGACAGAATAGTGTTTGCCATGGTGTACTCATAGTATGTATTGCTTTCCCTGACAATAATGTCCATCAGGGGTTCATCGAAAAACAACTGAAAGCATTCCAGTTCAGTGGGATTGTTCCCAAGTGTACATGATGGCCGTATTCCACTTTGCCCTCCATCAAAGTCATGGGGACTGGGAACAAACTCGTCATCTTGCTGCCAATCCCAGATGCGGTCAGCTGGTGGGTTCTGGATATTGTAATGTGGTTGTGGTTGTGCAGGTTGTGGTTGTGGCTGTTGTGAAAGTGTGGGGTCGGGTGAGGCGGGCTGTAGTTGTGCAGAGTCAGCAGCGTGGGTAGTAGCGTGGCACGCTGCTGGTGTCACATGACTCGTGCCACCATCACTATCACCACCACCGCCTGCTGCCTCACTTGCATCATTGATACCCATCATAACAATATCGTCATCTTCACTATCAGGCCGTGGTGTAGGGCCACAGGATGTGCTCCGAGATGTACTCCTTCCTCTTGGAATGTCGTATATACTGCCGCTTCACTGGGGAATATTCACCCTCACTGTCACAACTAGAACTGCTTTCAATAACCTTGAAATCACTATCACTATCACTTACACTGCTCACATCTGAGTCTTGTACACGGGCAAATAGTTTCCTCTTTCGTCCTGGTACAGGTGAACATGAACGAGCCGGCCCAGCACCAGAGGTGGAAGGTTGTGGGTCATCTGGGTTTTCATCACTAATTATGTTATCCTGGGCACATTTTTCAGTCACACCCGCTTCAGAACCAGGGAATTCACTTTCACTGACACTTTCATCGCTGTTTGAGCTATCACTTGGGAACAAAATACCTCCAATCCGCCGAGGAGTGAAGAACTTCTTACCGCGAGGCATGGTGAAAATGGACTACCAAGATGGTGTTCCCACAATGCACCGCTGAGTCCCAGATTTTTTTCACAGAGTGCACACCCACCACTGAGACCCATTCTCTCTCATGTAGGCCTACCAGCCCTCTCCCGCTTGATTTGAAGCTGCTAGAATTTATGCGTATAGATACGTCAAACACGGTATCTCCCATGACGTATATATACGACCGCGACAGTCAAGGGGTTAATAACTCTCCTCTCCTATTTTAACTATCAAATGCACTCGTTCCCTAGGCTTCCTCAGCTTATTAATATCACTCCAAAACTTTTCCTTATTTTTGACAAAATTTATTGATAACATCTCATTCACTCATTTGCTCTCTTTTTACATTGCTTCAGCACTCTCAACCATTGTCCATATGAAAACTGTAAATAAATCTAAAGCCAAATTATAGTAAATCGATTGGAAAAACTCATGAAATAAACTCCCAAACAAATGTCAGCCCTCTATAGATGCATAAAATAAACACAAGGTATTAATGCATTTGGTAAAAAAAAAAAATGAACATTTTCATTGATCATAACTGCATATCAAGAGTTCTTAAGCAATTACAGTGGTACCTTGGGTTATGAACAACTCAAAACTCAAACAATTATGTAAGTGTGTTTAAGCAAGTGCTTTTGTAAGTTATTTTTGGGGGGTCTGAAACGAATTAATCTAATTTACATTATTCCTTATGGGAACAAATTCATTCGGTAGCGGCACTTGAACAGCCTTCTGGAATGAAATAAATTAGTATCCCGAGGTACCACTGAAATACTTGATTTGAACATGCCAATATCATAAGTGCAGAACATAGCAAGTCAGAGCCATACTGTGTGTGTAATTTAACCCTTTGAGGGTTGAGACCCCTGATCCTTAACTCACTCTCAGGGTTGGGAGAGAAAAAAAAAAATCTTATGAAATGATAGAGAATTTTTTCCTGATAGTAATGGCACCAAAAAGTATGAAATTTGATAGAGAACTTAAGAAATTACGCTCTCGCGAAGTTAGTGATATCGCCCACTTTGAGCCCCATTTTCAGCCAATTCCATTGTTCCAGTCGACTAAAATCATAGCTATTTCGCTAGAACTCCATTTGTTCTATTGATTAAGTACAAGAAACTGCCCATTTACCAATTTCAACTACCCAATGAAGTGTTCAGAAAATGGCAATTTGGCCAATTTCAAAATAGGGTCCAGAATAAGCAAGACAGACATTCCTGGAACTAAATTTTCTCTGTTCATTAGTCATGTCTCCAGGCTTTCCATTTTGAATTTTTATTCTCACAAAAAAAATAGAAGATTTACTGTTTTGCAGACTACTGCATTATTGTAAAAACGGTATAAATATCAGCGCACTTGTGAAAGAATATTACTCACCAGCTGAGGTGTATTGAATGCGTGGCATGATTTGTTCACTCTTGAACATCAGCAAAAATCGAACATTTCCGCTAATTTGAGCTAAATTTTAAGGTACTTTCATCATCAAACTAATCAAAATCATCTCCATTTCTGTAATATACATTCCATTCTATCTAATGAGACCAAGAAAACAAGAATTCAACCATAAATACCATACAAAAATACACTTCAAAATTTTAAACCAAAAACACGGTCGGAGTTTTTTCTCACTATGCACTATGTGCTGCAGAATTTTTTTATATCATGCACACTGACCATGCAGACCCCTTCTTTCATTTGTAAGCCTACCAGCTTTCTTCCACCAGATTTGAAGGCTCTAGAATTTTGGCGTATAAATGTGGGACCAACACTGGCTATCAAGCCGTACATATAGAGGACCGACTCAAAGGGTTAAGGTTTAAATTCAACATTCCCAACCTCTTCTTTTAATGGTTGTAAAGAAAATAAAGCTTGCCAACCTTTTTAGTACTGGGATCCACGCAAGACCCAAGGAGAACAGTCTGAGAGCGAACACCAAGATTTGATTTCCAGTGAATCAAATCTCTGAAGTTCCCTTCTTGAACAGGTGTCCATGTCAATATGAGCTCTGCACTTTCACCTGGTTGTAACACGAGGTTTACATCTGAGCATGATATCCCACTCTCTGGCTTTGGAAACTTTTCACAGAACACCTGGAAAAAAAAATCATACCTTTAGCATAATTTTTTTTACCATCACTAAATAAATAAAGTTTATTTCTTTGTAAAGGTTACAATGGGTAATTACAATTTTGATTTGCCAAGTACAAAGATAGCCACTATCATGCCAAGGCATTTCGGGCAAACTAATCCTAATACACTTTACGTAACTAATTAAAACTAGAGAAGATAATAGTACATAGTAATTATACTTAAAACTAAACATAGAATAGTGGTTAGCTGTTTTACAGTCTTATTTGAACTCAATAAATCTTATGTAAACTTAGTACAAAATCTAACTTACAAGTAATAGTGCAGGTCATAATATTTTATGGAATGGCAGAATTAAAAGCCAGGTCACATAACACTAATTACCTTTGTTTAGGCAGGCTTGCGCACAATGTGGCGCAAAGCATTTGTGCAGCGCTTGATCTCACCTCTAAACCATCTTGTGCAAGTATGAAAACTATTTTGATATTCCTAGCATCTTTCATACTATTTGGAAGTGCCAAAGAATACATGCTGAAATATACTTACTTCCTGTGTTTCATCTTTTGGATTTAGAACTCTGAGTTTTCGATGACAAGTAGTTCCCAATTTAACTGAATCAAAGGTTATTTTCGGAGAATGGGTAAAGTGAATGAGACGCAGGACTGGAATTTCTTCCACCACTTTCTTCAACTTCTGTTTTTGCACTGGACTGATCTGAAATTTCAAACAGTATTTGTATGGGTTAAATTTAGATTTTCTTTTTAAATCAAGAGCATGTACTGAAAATGATTTCCTCTTCTTCATACTACAGTGGACCCCTGCATAACGATATTAATCCGTTCCTGAGAGCTCATTGTTATGCGAAATTATCATTATGTGAATTAATTTTCCCCATAAGAAATAATGGAAATCAAATTAATCCGTGCAAGACACCCCAAAGTATGAAAAAAAAAAAATTTTACCACATGAAATATTAATTTTAATACACAAACTGAAAAAGGCATGCACAATTACATGACACTTACCTTTATTGAAGATCTGGTGATGATTGATAGGATGGGAGGAGGAGAGTCTTAGTGTTTAGAAGGGGAATCCCCTTCCATTAAGACTTGAGGTGTCGAGTCCTTTTCTGGGGTTACTTCCCTTCTTCTTTTAATGCCACTAGGACCAGCTTCAGAGTCACTGGACTTCTGTCGCACAACATATCTGTCCATAGTGGCCTGTACCTCTCGTTCCTTTATGACTTCCCTAAAGCGTTTCACAACATTGTCAGTGTAATAGTCACCAGCACGGCTTGCAATAGCTGTGTGAAAGTGATTTTCATCCATAAAGGTTTGCACTTTCAGCCACACTGCACAGATTTCCTTAATCTTTGTAGTAGGCAACTTCTTCAATTTCTCTCTCCCCTCCTCCGAACCAGTTTCCTCAGGTCTGGCCTCTTGCTGTTGAAGTTGATCTAGCAGCTCATCAGTGGTTAGTTCTTCATTGTCCTCCTCCACCAACTCTTCCACATCATCCCCACTAACCTCCAACCCCAAGGACTTTCCCAATGCCACAATGGATTCCTCAACTAGCATACTCCTCTCAGGGTTAGCCTGAAACCCTTCAAAATCCCTTTGGTCTACACATTCTGGCCACAGTTTCTTCCAAGCAGAGTTCAAGGTCCTCATAGTCACTCCCTCCCAAGCCTTACCTATAAGGTTTACACAATTGAGGATATTAAAGTGCTCTCTCCAAAACTCTCTTAGTCATTTGAGTTTCTGAGGTCACTACAAAGCACCTTTCAAACAGAGCTTTTGTGTACAGTTTTTTGAAGTTTGCAATAACCTGCTGGTCCATGGGCTGCAGGAGAGGAGTGGTATTAGGAGGCAAAAACTTCACCTTAATGAAGCTCATGTCCCCATAAAGTCGCTCTGCCACGTCTGTAGGATGACCAGGGGCATTGTCTAACACCAGGAGGCACTTAAGGTCTAATTTCTTTTCAGTTAGGTAATCTTTCACATTGGGGGCAAATGCTTGGTGTAACCAGTCATAGAAAAAGTCCCTAGTGACCCATGCCTTACTGTTTGCCCTCCACAGCACACACAAATTAGCCTTGAGGATATTCTTTTGCCTGAACGCTCTGGAGTTTCTGAGTGATACACTAATAAAGGCTTCACTTTGCAATCACCACTAGCATTGGAACACATCAACAGAGTAAGCCTGTCTTTCATAGGCTTATGTCCTGGGAGTGCCTTTTCCTCCTGAGTAATGTACGTCCTGCTTGGCATTTTCTTCCAAAACAGGCCTGTTTCATCACAATTAAACACTTGTTCAGGTTTCAGTCCTTCACTGTCTATGTACTCCTTGAATTCCTGCACATATTTTTCAGTTGCTTTGTGGTCCGAACTGGCACCCTCACCATGCCTTATCACACTATGTATGCCACTACGCTTCTTAAATCTCTCAAACCAACCTTTGTTGGCCTTAAATTCACTCACGTCATCACTAGTTGCAGGCATTTTTTTAATTAAATCCTCATGCAACTTCCTAGCCTTTTCACTTATGATCACTTGAGAGATGCTATCTCCTGCTATCTGTTTTTCATTTATCCATACCAATAAGAGTCTCTCAACATCTTCCATCACTTGCGATCTCTGTTTCGAAAACACAGTTGAACCTTTGGCAAGAACAGCTTCCTTGATTGCCGTTTTGTTGCCCACAATAGTAGCGATGGTTGATTGGGGTTTATTATACAACCTGGCCAGCTCGGAGACACGCACTCCACTTTCATACTTATCAATGATCTCTTTCTTCATCTCTATAGTAATTCTCACCCTTATTGCTGTAGGGTTGGCACTAGAAGCTTTCTTGGGGCCCATGGTCACTTATTTTGCAGATAAAATCACCAAAAACACTGTAATAATACGAAATGTTCCGATTGTATGCTTGGATGTTACCGCGGAGGCTGGCTGGTAAACAATGCCACCGGCGGAACACGTGAGGCTGGCTCAGGCCGCACATTAGACGCGTCTCGGACAAACAGCGTTGAGCGGGTTTTTTTAGTGGTATGCGAGGCAAAATCTTAGCGATAAAATGTATTGGTATGCGGATTTAACGTTATGTAAGGCCAACGGTATGCGGGGGTCCACTGTATACTGTACACAGATGGAACACTTACATGAAAGGAATCTGGTAAGATAGGAGTTCCATATAGACTGTATTACATTTAACAAAAGAAAACTAGGTTAATGTAGAGGTAATGGTGTATGTAGTCAATATTTACTAACTACTCAACAGAATGTGGCACATTTGAAATCCTCTAAAAATTAATTTTCATATTTTTATAGGTCGCTCATTCACTCACTGCAAAGAGGATATTTGAAAGTTGTGCAAGCAAGCGACAGCACAAATAGGCAAGTGAAGCAGCAATGAAAGCATAAAGATCATTATAATTTTTTAACAACTTGCTAATAACATGTAGGTTTTGTATACAACAGTGAGTGAGTTTTGCAGTGCATAGAATAAATTCTCGATATAATGGCCGAATTGGGGGATTATCCAAGTGTCCATTAACCCCCTGACTGTCGCAACCCCAAATCCTGAGGTGTCTCCTGGTGTCGAGAGAGAAAGAAAAAAAAATCTTATGAAAAGATAAAGAATCTTTTCCCAATTGTAATGACACCAAAAGAACAAAATTTGATGGAAAACTGAGGGAATCACGCTCTCGCGAAGTTAGTGACCTCAGCGATATTTACAAATCGGAGACTTTGCCCACTTTGAGCCATATTTTCGGTTAATTCCATTGTTCCAGTGGACCAAACTCAGCTATTTCTTTAGAACTCCGTTTTTTGTATCGATTGCGTACAAGAAACTGCCCATTTGCCGATTTCAACTACCCAATAACGTGGTCAGAAATTTGCAATTTGGCCAATTTAACGAAAATAAAAAATATGACAATTTCAAAATAGGGTCCAGAATGAACAATGCAGACATTCTTGGCTCTAAAATAACATTTTCTTTTGTGATGAATGGTTTTGAAAACCGACAAGTTGAAGAATTGAGACACTTATGCAACACATGGGAATCCTTATTGAAGAAACGTTTCGCCACACAGTGGCTTCATCAGTCCAATACTGCCCTGTGTTGCACTTCCTACAAGAGTGATGGACTGAACACACAGATTCCAGGTTGAGGGACTGATTACCTCAAACTTCTACTCTCCTTACCCATTTCTACTTTGTATTGGACTGGTGAAGCCACTGTGTGGCGAAACGTTTCTTCAATAAAGATTCCCATGTGTTGCATAAGTGTCTCAATTCTTCAACTTGTCGGTTTTCAAAACCATTCATCACATCTGTCAGACACTGCAACATCATGGGACCTTGGTACAAAGACTTCAACGCTTGCCCAACCTTTGGACGACGACCTACTTACACTAGTGGCAGGTCCCACTGTGATCCCGCCTCCTCCTGCTTCACCTCATCTCACCGCAGTATATAAGCCACCTCTCTGGCCCTGTGCTGCACTTCCTACAAGAGTGATGGACTGAACACATCGATTCCAGGTTGAGGGACTGATTACCTCAAACTTCTACTCTCCTTACCCATTTCTACTTTGTATTGGACTGATGAAGCCACTGTGTGGCGAAACGTTTCTTCAATAAAGATTCCCATGTGTTGCATAAGTGTCTCAATTCTTCAACATTTTCTTTGTTCATCAGTCACGTCTCCAGGCCCCCCTGATATTACTCTTGCTTTCTATTTAGAATTTTTATTCAAACAAAAAATAAAAGATTTACTGTTATGCAGACTACTGCAATATTGTAATAATTGTATAAATAATGTCAACCCATTCATGACTGCATATTAGAATGGCTACTTGGACATTTATTGGAAAATGACATCATTTGTTTACTTTTGAACATCGGCAAAAATCGAACATTTCCCCTACTTTGAGTTCCATTTCAAGATTCTTTTCATAGTAAAACCAATCAAAATCACCTCTATTTCTACAATATGTTTTCCATTGTCAACGAGACCAAGAAAATGAGAATACAACCATAAATACTATACGAAAATAGACCACAAAGTTGGCATTAAAAAAAAAAAATATACGGTCGGAGTTTTTTTTTTTCTCAGTATGCACTGCGTGCTGCAGGATTTTTTTTTATATGGTACACACTGACCACACAGACCCATTCTCTCACATGTGGGCCTACCAGCTTTCTCCTGCTTGATTTGAAGCCACTAGAATTTATGAGTACGCATATGTCAAAAACAGTGGCTCGTAAGACGTATATACTATATGACCAAAACAGTCAAAGGGTTAAATCAGAATAAAGTTTAGACATAGCAAAAAAATTCACTATCCTGTATTCACAATTTATGGTCATACTGCAATGAATGTTGAAATTAAAGGAATTAAAAAATTAAAAGATTAGGTGATGAAAGATTGGATATCAGATTGGAGGGAGAGAGTATGGAGGAGGTGAATGTATTCAGATATTTGGGAGTGGACATGTCAGCGGATGGGTCTATGAAAGATGAGGTGAATCATAGAATTGATGAGGGGAAAAGGGTGAGTGGTGCACTTAGGAGTCTGTGGTGACAAAGAACTTTGTCCTTGGAGGCAAAGAGGGGAATGTATGAGAGTATAGTTTTACCAACGCTCTTATATGGGTGTGAAGCATGGGTGATGAATGTTGCAGCGAGGAGAAGGCTGGAGGCAGTGGA